ACATGTTATTTTCCATGAAGTGAGCTTTAATGTTTTCTCATGCCCTGTTTAAATAATCACACGTTTGCGTTGGCAGATATATTTTTGCTTGAGGTCTGGGTATTATGACGAAGCAAGAAATGTTGCCCTCTCTTCCCGCTCTTCACATCAATTTGTTCCACTGGTACAGGCTGTTGTCACTTCGTTTGTATTGCACTTTATACTGGGATCTTTCTTAGTGATTCATTTTTCTGACAGCTCACGGAGTGGATCAACACTGGAGGTATGGTGCCAGAAGAGATTGCAAATGCTGCATCAGATGAATGTGAAAGAATGTTGAGGACTGGTGATCGCATAGGTCGAGCTGCATATGACAAGAAAAAGTTACTGCTGTATGCCATCATATCAGGATCCCGAAGACATATTGATCGTTTGCTTAGAGATCAACCTACCCTCTTTAGTACCATTGAGGATTTCTTGTGGTTTAAACTGTCAGCTGTGCGAGACTGCCCTAGTGGGTCAACATCCATTGTTCTAAGTGATGGTTTGGTACCATACAGTTTGGACGATTTGCAGACTTACCTGAATAAGTTTGAGCCATCATACTATACGAAAAATGGAAAAGATCCTCTGGTATATCCTTACATTCTGCTTTTGAGCATCCAATTGCTTCCAGCAGTATTATACATGTCCAAGGAAACAGGAGATGAAGGATACAACATTGATGCTGCCCACCTATCGATTGTGCTGGCTGATCATGGGGTATTATCTGAAGGTACTGTTGCTGGGCAAAAGTTGGGGGTAATGGATGCTTGTGCTGAAGTGTCTAGCATAATCAGGCAGTACGGATCTATGTATTTACGTCTTGGTGATCTCCAGATGGCTTTAGAATATTATGCTCAAGCTGCTGCTGCGGTAGGTGGTGGGCAGATGTCATGGACTGGTAGAGGTAGTATTGATCAACAAAGGCAGAGAAGTTTGATGCTGAAGCAACTCCTAACTGAACTTTTGTTAAGGGATGGTGGCATATATCTTTTGCTTGGTGCAAGAGGTGCCGGAGAAGAAGGTGAATTGGGCCGTTTTGTGACTGATCCAAAATCAAGGGAGCAATTTTTAATCGAGGCTGCTTGCCAATGCGAGGAAGCTGGGATGTTTGACAAAGTAATTTCTTTCTTTTACGTTGCATGTACTTATTTTATCCTTCATCGTTTATCCTCTCTCTTTAATCTGTCTCCCATATTTTTAATCCTTTTTTTCTGAATCACTGGGTTTTCATCCAAACCCATTGTTGGTTATGCTTATTTGGGATTTGTTTTATATTTCTGGCGTTCAGTCAATAGAAATTCAGAAGAGAGTGGGTGCCTTTTCATCAGCACTGGATACCATCAATAAGTGCCTTTCTGAAGCTATTTGTGCTCTTTTCCGTGGTAGAATAGATGGTGAAAGCAGGACTGCTGGCCTCATCCATTCTGGCAATGAAATTTTGGATGCATACACTTACTATCCACATGTCAGGTAATATTGAGACTTTTGCCCTATCTCATTGTTCTATGCATGGTTATGCTTGGGTCTAGGTGTTGCAATATTAGTTTGGTCGATTGGTCATTTAATATGTTATGTATGGATGTTTTTTATGTAGAACTTCGGAAGAGTCATCCTAGTTCTTTTTTTTCTTTGGATGGCAAGCTAATGCTTGCGGGACGTAGAGAAATATGCCTCAAAAACTTGTCTATTTCATCTGAAAAGAGGGTATATATACATAGAAGATGAACCTCGATAATTATGGCTTATTGAAAGCCTATTAACGTGGCCTAACCTATACAACCTATCACTGAAGAGGCTGCGTTTCCTTCTAACAGACTCCATATACAACCACCCACAATATCATTTATTATCCTATTCTAACACGGGAGAGCAGTGGGATCAAACCTGCTATTAGTCACTACAATGACTGAAGTCGATGCCACTAAACTAACAAGGCTTTGGCTGTCATGTTAGATTTTATACTTCTAAATTCGAACCTGGCACCAATTTTTGAACGCCTTCGCACACAATTTTGAGCTGCAGAAAGTCATGGGCAAAATATTTCAGACCATTCCACAAAAGCTATTAATATTCCATCTAGATGAGCTATATTTCAATGATGAGATTAAAGTTAGAAATCCCAATGGGTAGTTTTATTATTGTTTTATTTGCTGAAGCTTTCAGAATGATAAAAGATTGGTTCCCTGCAAATGAATTGCGAGACTAAGGAATTTGGGTTTTGACTCTTTGAATTTAATTCTTTTGATCAATGGTTATTAACAATTTGACTATATCTTGGCATTCCTTCTATTTAACATGTGTCATGAGATTGATTGAATTCCCTCTGCAGCCTTCAAGAGAGAGATAATGTTTTTGCCCAGCAAACTGTGTTGAGACAACTTGAGGCAATATTGTCAATTCACAAGTTGTCAAGAACAGGGCATTATGCGGATGCACTAAGGGAGGTTGCTAAACTCCCATTCCTACCTCTAGATCCTCGAGGTCCTGATATTGCTGTTGATGTGTTTGAAAATTTGTCTCCTCATGTCCAAGCTTGCATTCCAGATCTTTTGAAAGTTGCCCTCACCTGTCTGGACAATGTGACAGACACGGATGGATCACTTCGTGCCCTAAGGGCTAAGGTATGTATTAAAAAGGAGAACAATCTTGTATTTACCTTGTGCGGTCCTTTGTATAATTGCAAAGTCGTGTCAGGGAGTCTAACACAGCTATGGTGTTTAGAGGTTTTATTGGGCTATTTACAATAAATGGTGAAGTGCTAGTACTGTTGAATAGGGAGAATGTACTACCTCCGATCCTTAATATAAGACCATGTTTGACTTTTATTTTGGTCCTAAATATAAGACCCCAATCCATTTTGTTTCTCATATTTATACATTTTTTTTCTAAAATAACCCTTCTAAGAATGATAGTTCTAGTCAATACGCTTGATTAGCAATGATATTTTGGGAAAGGCAACACCTATTTAGGACAAATAACTAACTCAACTTACTTCCTTAATCTCCTTAAATTAGTCAACTGGCTCTTATAATTAGAACCGGAGGTAGTATATCCTAATGCAAGAAAAGAGAGAAAATGATGATAATGAAATTTGATACAAAATTTAACACCATAACAAAGTCTTGCAAAGAACCATACGGGGCGATACAGACTCATTAGGGTATAGTATTTTACAATTAATTAATATTTCACCTGTTTATCCATTTTACTAATAATGTTCCATTCATGCTTTCCATGACAAGCAACTACATAGAATTTTTTAACGTTAAAATAATTCTTAGATTATTGTGTGAAGTGGCTGTTTAGTTACTTGCATCCAATTAAGATGTCAAAACTGCAATATTTCATTTATGGAAGTTTTTGTCTCATGATGATTGAATCTTCCCGATGCAGATTGCGAGTTTCATTGCAAATAACTTGAAGAGGAACTGGCCTCGTGATTTATATGAAAGAGTAGCCCAAAGCTTGTGAAAGGACAACAGCAACATGGGATTTCGTTGACTTGTGGGAAGGCAACAGAATGTGTTTGATGAGTGATTGTTTTATCGTGCTGCATCAAATTGTAAAGTAATGAGGGGGGCCTTGCATGTGTACACCTCTGAATTTTTTTGCACAAGATTAGGAAAGAGGCTCCTGAGGGATGTTCCAGATTTGATGAGGCTGCTCAATAATGTTGGATAACCCCCGTGGGGGAGAGATCTCACTATACTCCAATCAATTTAACGAATTTAGTGGTCACCATCCAATTACATACCAAGCTATGCCTTCCCACCCAAATGGGATCTTTCTTTTGTCCAATTCTGATCCATTTCTAACTAGGTGACATACCGCTACTTTTGTACTTAAGTGGGACTAGATAAATTCACTTACGATCAAGTTCCATGGTTGAGTTTTTTCTTTTAATAAGTGAAAATATTTCTTTTAATACACAAATTTAAGATATTTATGTACATTACTTGTGTCTAAAGATTCAAGTGTGATTTAATGTAAGGCTTTTTAACGTGACTTTTGTTTTTTTAACCATCAGGTGACTGTTGTTTTTGAATCATATGACACGCGTGTTTTTAATATTGCTATTGAAAATTATATATCTATAGGAAATTATTTTTTGACAAGTATTTATTGAAATTTTGATAGTCCAAATTGAAACAACCGTCTTCAAGGTATTTTTGTTTGTTTTTGGCCGCCGTAGGTTTTATGTTTGCAAGACAACTGTACAACTTCTCATGATGACCGGACGATAATGACGCTGCGCGAGTTTCCAAATTTAGATTCCTCTTATTTTGTTGTGTTGTGTTTAAAATAGATACATACAGAGGCCAATAAAAGCTTTGCGCGGCAACTTTTGTGATTTGAACGGATAAAAGATGGGTCTATATATGTATTATTGCCTAGCAGGAATTGGAGGGAGGAGACTTTTTGGGAGAAAAAGGCGGTTGAATTGAATAGACCTAGAAATTTACTGTATCTTCATCAATCCATGGACTATATAGCTACTATTTCCTGAGATTGCGATGGGGGAAAAGAAATCACCAGGTATACAATTCCCATAAAAAAATCTTGCACTAAATTGGCATAACGCATCAAAATTGTACCATTCGCTATTAACAATACAGCCTCCCAATTGTTCATTAATATGTATACAAACTGAGCATTTAATTATATGACTATTTTCTCCACAAACATTCACAATACAGCCTCCCAATTTTACCATTCGCTATTAAGAATAACATCCCCAGATGATAGTACCGGGAGGGAAAAAAAAAAGAAGAACTGTCAGGGAGGAGGAAGAAACCTTTTTAGGCCTAAAAAAATAAAAATCAAAGCAGAATCTGGGTATCTATATTGATAAAATAGGGTTTTTTTTAACCTGTAAAAATCAAAACTTGTATCGTATCTCTCTCTGTCCCCACTGTCTCTATCCTCTGTCTCATATATTGGGGCCATCTCAAAAGGTCCTTCAAAGTTTTGCCGCCATGTCTTCAACAAGGAAATGGGCTAGCTCAATCTGCTCCATTGCTTTTCTCATATATTTCGCTGTTATCATCCTTCAAGTCCCAATTTTCAGGTAATGCTCCTTTTATATCACCCAGACACTATCAATAAGCCCGAACAAAAAGTATGGAGAATCATTGTTCAGTTATCAAAGTTAAGAATGAGAAACAAGGAAGAAGAACAGAGAAAAATTTAAACTTTCTGCCAAAATGTTAAGATTTGTGTCGGAGTTTGATCTTTTTTATGTATTCATTCTTGCAGTGTCGGAGTTTTCAATTGAGTTTGACATAGTTACATTCTATTACTTGCCGACTTTATTTTATTACGCTGTCCCAACACCCCCTTCCACCTCTTTCCCCACGGGGCGGGTACTCTATCTCTCGCTTTCGCTAAGCTCTGAGAATGCGATTATCTCAACTCAGGCAAATGCTTATTACCAGAGCATCTTCTCCAACAGAATCCTGAATCATTTACCCAGAAATGAGGGCTTTCTGTAGAGATTGATTTTATGTTTAGAAGCCCTATTCCCCTCTTTTCTGTGTTGAATAAGAAATGCATCTCACGGGAGAGAAATGTAACTTAGTCATATATCCTTCGTAAATGTAGCATCATAAACCTCAAAAACTTACATAAAATGGAACTCTTGAAAAGTAAATAAATAAAGAAAGAAGTACATGTTAGATATTCATTGGGCTCATTCAGAGGTCAAACTCCAATGATGGGGACAAACTTGATACATTACCCACAAATTCTGCTGTACTGATAATTTAAACATTTTGGTTCATAATAATTATTTTATCCCTGTTTGCTTTTCTCAGTGTTCCATGCAGAATCGGTATCTGTAAGACCCCATTAGAAGTCACTTCTTCTCAGTTAATTGCAAGTGACGTGTTCCCTCCTTTCATTGTGAAGGCCCTTCTTTACCCAGGAGCTCTTGCAAAGGCTCTTTACAATCACAAAACCATCCCAAACTTCAGAAACCTCCTTAAGTTATACAAGTTCAATTCAAGGCAAATTACCCCAACATCAGATCTTCATCGCCTAGAGGTAAGTAATTCGACAGAACTACGACTATACATAAAGTGGTTAAGCATATTGGTAAAAAGAAAACATAATAGTACCCCTTCTTATCAACTTAAGCTTGATTACTTTTTGAGGGGAAAAACTGCATCTATATCAGTATCAAAACCTAGGTTTCAGAATCACTTTACCGTAAAACGAGATAACCTCCTCCATATATTTATTTCGTAATCCATAAAAACACTTTTGAAACCATGGTTTGGTTTCTATCCAAACACCCCCTAAATGCCAGAAGTTTAGCTGTCATTTTGAATCTAAAGGTGATCCTCCAGGTTCTAGCAGGAAGCTATTTATCTGTGGGAGGAGCAATTATGGGTCTGATGAAACCAGGGAGAATGGGCCTCTTTGGAATACTTCTTTTGATATGGGGTCTCATTAGAGAATCCATTATGTTCCAATCTGGTTTGGATCACGAAAAAGCTTCTCATATTCGTCCTGCTATGTGGATTGCACTTGTTTCTGCATTCTTGTCCATTAGAAAGGATGTCAGAAAGATTATACGTACTTTCAGAGGAAACCAAACTCTGAAGCATAAATATGTCTAGCTGTCTGAAATTGAAATAGCATGATTTAGCTATAATGCTTGGTTTGATCTGACTGGTACGGAGTTATATACCTGTTTTGTTTGCTACTCATTGCAATCATGAATGAATTGTAGATATATGGCTGCTTGATTCCGTTGTGCATTGCTATTGATTATTGGGAAGAGACAAATGGATAACTGAATTATTAGGCTACACAGCACAGCTTACTGTGCAATGATGAAGAACTCATTATAGTCTTCGGAAAAGTTTATTTTTTCTTCTAAATTCTGGATTAATTTTGATGGTGAGATTACCCATCATGTAACCTAGATATTCAATTTTTTTACGTAAAATATCTTTTTTTCCCTTCTTTAAATCAGAAGTGGGTGCTGACCCACACAGAAAAGAATTAACGAAAATGTGTCTTAAACGGAACGCTAATATGAAAGCTGAGATTTCCATGGGATAATATTATTTAATCACACTCAGCTCTATATATGTTATCTCATTGCACCCAACTAAGAAGACAGATTGGGACCTCCATCTATAGGTTTGTATCTTTTTAAGTTTTAACCCAGTGATAAAGAAAAGGCTATGAATATATAAGCTAGATTACATACAGCTAGCTCCAAAGGAGGACCAAGATTCCTTCATAAAAGCAAATACAGTTATGGAGTCGTCTTGGGTTCATCTTTTTAGACAAACCACAACGTGCTCTATAAAGCGTATTCTTAAATTCATGAATGGAATCCAATGTGAGTTGTTTTTTGTTTAGCTGATGCGATATGTGAATTAGACCTCATTATAAATCAAAAAACATATTTAGCCTTCTGTTGCGGATCAAATAACCTTCTGTTATACATATCATATATATACATTCTTAAATTCGAATCCATAAATTCATTCAGGAAAAAAGGACTACGTCATGGTTTCAGGATGTATGAGAAAAGAAAGAAATTGATCTTCGCTTAAACCACGCAAGTACAATAATTAGTTGAACTCCAGTACAAGAGACCAAAGAAAAAGTAATATTAAAACACCAAAAACATGGCCATAGTTCAGGTACGAAAAAAACACCGACATAGTTTCTTTAACTAAGTGCTAATCAAAGGGTACGTGGCTTCTTTGTAATATTTGCTCTGCTCCATTCTCTTTGGCCCCTGCTATCAGTTTTGAGCATCCCCAAGAAATTAATAAAGAAATATTCCATCTTAACTCTCTAGTATTACAACAGTCCATCTTCCATGGCCAATCGCTACAATCCCTGAAGACAAAGCCATGAAATACTGTAATTTAGTTTATAATTACTGTGGACAAATCTAACCGAACATATATAGATTAGGAAGCACATAATATAGCTTTATACCAAAATTTGGATGATCTCAACTCTAGTATGTATCCCTTGGGGCACTGCATTTGAAGCATTCCATTCTGCTCGCAAAGTTATGCTCATTGCACCCTAGCCTGTTAAATTTAAAAATTTGGTGTCATAGTCACGGAACTTGCAGGGAAAATATTATTCAAATGGGTAGGGAAGTAACCTTTATCTTGCACTTCAAATCATTATCAGAACGAGGAGAGGGGGGAGGGAGGGAGGGAGGGAGAGAGAGATGGAGATTTTTCTAACGTACTTATAGATCTCCTAAAAGCAGTCAAAGAGGGCCCCAATGAAAATCAAAGTGCATGCCTATCAAAGACAGCAGCCAAAGCAAAAAGAATAATTTGTACCCTTAAAACGAACCAATCATCAAAAGATTTTCCCCCTGTTTTAGCGACTAAATACTTTATGATCATCAACTATTTTTGCGTCTGAGTTATAACACCTGGTTTTTATTTCTGTACTAATTAAAAGAGAGAAAACATAGAACTGTATGTAAGCCTCTTGCTCCTGTTTGAATTGGAGTGTGTTCAAGACAAAATACATAAATTATTAAATAACACATTATATGTATATATAACCAACATGCAGCTATACTATAATTACCTATTGCAAATCCAATCACCAGATTTCCATGAAGGTCTGGTGGAAGTAGGAGCAGAAGGAAAAGGTCTAGAGCGTAGAAGAAAGTCAGTGTTGAAAGAAGAAGATAACAAGTCATCTTTGAAAGCACCACACTTGAAGCAGCTTGAGCGGTTGGCAAAGTTATGTGTGCCACAATTATTAGCAGCACAGTACCAGTCTCCAGGACGAACATCAGATCCATATGATGAACCTGATGATGATCTCCCTCCTCCACCGTAATATTCTCCATACTTTGATTCTCCGCATCTCTGACATGATTCTCTCCTCTGAAAGTTCATGTGCTGGCACGACCTGCAGTTCCAATCTCCTGGCCTGCTGCTCATTCTGCATTATATATACCCCTTCACTCAGTACATGATTAGGACAGGGATTTGATTTAATTACTACACTAACATTTATGATAAGTACCTATATATATGTTTCATATTGTGTTTACATTGTTCTTGATTAAAAAAAAAAAATCAATCAAGGTTGGTTAAATATATACCAAAAAAAAAAAAGACTATTAGAGGAGTTTAAGTGAGTAGAGTTGAACAAATGGGTATTTAATCTTGTGAAACGAATGTGTGGAGAGATCAAGAAGGATGTGAGGTCTCATGATGAATGATATATCTGAATACTTAGTTGGTGATGAAGTCCAATAAGTCGTGCAAACAATGTAACCGACTTCACATGATAGCAAAAGATGAAATCATGAATGGTATGCAGCATAAAATGGTTGATGATGTGTCATAGATACGGTAATATAAAGACTTAGATAGTGATGATATTCTAAATACTGGTAGGTGTTAGATGATATGTTATACATAGGGTCAAGCACACACGCATGCACGCATCAACTAGCTCAGTAGATGTATGACAAATAGAGAAGGAGGGGGATCATATGTTGGAAGAAATAAGAAGGCATACGTGGAGGACAATAATGGAGCAACTGAGTTGAAGTATAAATATGTAGGAGAATAATATTAGTGGTAAAGAAGAGATGAGAGAATGAGAAACGTGAGAATGGTTTATATAGAGGAAGGGAGAGAGGTCACGGAGAAAAAGAGAACAAGTGCAAGTACTTTTGAGAGGTGGTCAATCAGTGGCAAACTTTGATACGAAATGGATCAATGAATTGAAATCCAAAAGAAGAAAAAAGAGATAAAGTTGAGTTGGTGTGTGTGTGGCATGCATGCTTGAATTTGAAAACATTTCTGTTTTTTGAGGCAGTGGGCGACAACTTCATTTTGTTGCCAGTTTCTTAATATTAGTGTAAGGTTCTCTCTGCAAAAGTTTATGATGGGATAAACGTTTATTTTGTTTTTCTCCTTTCTCTAACTTCAAAATCACTTAACATCTCCCTCCCTTCTTCTTTGGCTTCTGTCAAATGAACCAGTCCTTAGTTTCTCTGCTTCTTTTTCATTTCGTTCCCTTCATCCAATATTTGAACTTTATTTATGGTTGTTTATATGCCACACTTCAACCTTCAAGAAATCACTTCTTGAAGTTGGAAATTTCAAGAAAACTTAAATTAGTAATAATACATATACAATTGACAATTGCGTGAGCTTTGATGTACACATGAAATGATTCAATTCGTCAATATACTAGTACCAATCCAGTTTAACCAAAAGTCTTGAGTTCAAATATGGGAATGCGGCCGCATTAAATACTTGTTAGAACTTGCGTAAAATGCTGGGTGCATATCCTCAATAAATCCCTTGATCTGGATTAATCTAGCCCTTATGACGTCCTCGTATTCAAGAGGCAAGCCTAGGATGCCGGGTGCATATCCTCAATACTTGGTAATAGAGCTTGCCACCCAAAAATATCCCACTTGGCTTGATCTAGACTAATCCAACCCTATCAAGTCCTTAGGTTATGTTTGGTAGGAAGCATTGAAACTGAGGGATTGGAGTTAGAATTGGGATTGAGAAAATCTATTAAAAGAATGTTTAGTATAAGAGATTGTTTGTTATATGAGATTAACCAAACCCATATATGCGGGATTGGAGAATACTAGAGGATGAAGTAGTATTCCCCAATCCCATCTCTATGGGTTTACCTAATCCTATATAATAAGCAATTACTCATGCTAAATACTATTTTAATAATTTTTTTTAATTGCAATCTCAATCTCAATATCTTATTTTCAATGTTTCGTACTAAACGGGACATTAAGGTAAAGAGATAGGGTCAGGATACGGGGTGAACATGAAAAAAAAATCCTCACTATACTAGCGATTCAACTGGTTTAATTTGATTGAAGGTAATTATTTTCTTAATTTAAACCAAATAAAAAGAAGCCGGTAAAGTTAGCATTAACATTAACACTACTCATAAATTGCTAGATTTTCTTATAACGAGGAAGAGGACCAATATCTGAAGGGGAAAATAAAGGAGAATAAAGTTAGAGTCCTGCCAAACAATAGCACTATTTATGTTGTTGTTTCATCTCTCTAACAGATCGAAATTGACAAACTTTAATGTAAATAGTACAAATTATATTTATTTTAATTTTTTATAATCTGATCGTTTTTTAAATTTAATGTTACAAGATTTTTTATTTTATTTTTTCTGTTTTTATTATAAAAAATAAAATGGTTAAAAATCTAAGCCATTCATATTAAAATTTGTACTATATAAATTTGTTAAAAGAAAGACAAAATCCATATTGTGCCTTTTAACATGAGGATATCTGAATATGAAATTAAGACTAAGGCTGCTGCTAAAGCATACTAATATTATAATGTGTCTATTAATTATACCAAAGTTGGAAGCATAAAAAAGAATAGATTAATATACCAATAAAATCATGCCCAAAACACATATTTCAAGAAACAAGCTTTCAATTTTCTTTTCCTTTTGTTTTTTTTGCTGTTAACTCACATCTCAACAAATTAATTTGTTTTTGGATACATCAACAAATTAATTTATCATAACTAAAAACAACATAAAATGAAAAAAATGTATTTCTTTCGCTAACAAAAGCTAGCTAATCCAACAATTCAAGACCCACACAAAAAGTATGTAGGGTGATTCTTGTAACCTAATGGAGGAACAAACCTAATTGTACAAAGATCTAATCAATCATATATACCCATTCCATGAACCCTAGAAAGGCCATTTGACCATGGAGTTTATTAATTATGGTTATACTAGTAATATATATATTGTTGGCTTATATATATGTATGTGTTAAAAAAATGTGTAAATAGAAAGAAAAGACGTGGCCTATTGTCATTGGACAATGAAAAGTCGTGATCATAAGTTGCTACAGTGTAATGAATATAGATTCACTGCATTAAAAGCCTCAATAATGTAAATTATTTATATTTATAAAATTGAATGTGTGTATATAATATTTAAAAAAAAGTATGGAAAAATTTATTTGATGAGCCAACAATTTGGGCCGAAAAGAAGAAAGTCTCTTTCAAAATTTTCTTTGGGAATCAACACAAAAATTGACAGTCAAAGTGTTTGGCATAAAATACCTGCTACTTTACAACTTGAATATTCCTTTATTCTCCTCCTAAAGTACAAAACAAAGTGAAAGAAATGAATTAAAGGTAAATAGAAATAAAACCCACTGACTCTATCTAATTAATTACAAGTTTTCAGAATTGAAAGAATTATTTTACGAAAATAAAAGACTATTCATTTATGAGATATTGTCAAGTTGAGTTTGCAGTTAATAAGTTGCTGTTTATGAAATGTATTCATAATAAGTAGGCTTCATAAGACCTTTGAAGATGGTCTTTTATGAATCTATTCACTTTAAAAATGTTTAACATCTATATAAATATATATATATATATATATAATGTTAAAGCTAGTGAGGGAAATTTTTGAAAAAGACAAGAGGGGAAAGAAAAAGGAAAGGAACAAAGAGGGGAAAGAGAAAAAGAAAAGGGGGAATGGCGAGTTTCAATAAAGAAAGAAAGAAAGGAGAAGTTGATGATGGAAGAACAAGTGCGTGAGGCAAATATTTTGACCATCTTTTCCTCTGTTGCTGCTGTGGCTGCTTACATATTTTATTCTCTCTCTCTCTCTAAAGCCCAGCTTTATCTATATCTATGCCTCCTTGGAAAAATGTTTTAATTTGAATGTTGTATATCTACAAAAGTGAATGAGCATATATATATATGTATGTATGTATGTATATGTAATTATTAGCTGCACGATAAAGAAAACGACGCCATTTCAACTGGATTCTCTTGTTTGTTATTGTACAAAACAGAAACAGAAATAGAAATTTGGATTGTGAAGTCATTTTTCACTCTCATTTGTTTCACTGCAATAGTGTCCATTATCTTGGGGGAAGGGTAAAGGCAAGCCATTGATATGATTTTAAGAACATACTTCCTGTTTTGATTATGTTTAGGTGTTTTGATTCTTTTTATAAGGCATTTGATACATTAGCTTAAGTATAATATTTACAAGGTAGCTTAGGAAAGTTAACGCACATTAACTTTTTATAAGAGTTAGATAACTAATTTGGAGAGATTAAAAAAATTACTCACCCGGTCCTTAATATAAGACCCATTTAACTAATTTGATTAGATTAAGGAAGTTAGGTAAGTTAGTTAATTATAAGAAATGTGATACGTCTTTCCTAAAATACCATAATCATATTTCTTAATATCCTTTCTTCCTCTTCTATTTGATTATAGTCGAAAGAGTATCTATAGGGGTAATTTAGAGAAAATTGATAAATATAAGAAATCAGTCTTATATTTAGGATCAAAAGCAACTCAAGAATTGGGTTTTATATTAAGGACTGAAGGAGTAGTAGAATTAGTTAGTGATAACAAATATGTGTTAACTTCTCTAAACTACTATTTATAATCATGTGCATTAGAATTATAAATATTATCTATAATCGTATGCATTAAAATTATCTTTTTGTACGAACCCCTTACAATTAATAAAGAAATTTTAGAGACAAAGTGGATGGAGGTAATAATATTTAGAATTAAATTTAATTTCTAACTAGTTTTTATAAAAAAGGACTAGAGGTAGTTTTTTTTTTTTTAATGTATGCACATATTTAATAAGATTTAATAAGAGCAGTGAGTGAGTAAAAATTAATAGGAAAATCATAAAAAAAAGACTTTGAAAATAAAAAAAATTATAAATTGGGATCCATTACAATATTAACATAGATTTTGACAATAACTGACAAATAAATGACAAGAAGTTTGTGAATGGTTCCTGTATGTAATTTTGTAATTTCTAAGATTTTTTTTACTATTTTCTCAAATTATTAAATACAATGTAATTTAACACTTTTAATTGTTTTTGTTAGCAACTGTGACCAAAAGCACTATATTTGGCACTGGGACTCGTTTCCATGCAGCATCTCATAATGCTGATTTTTTTCACTCCATTCACATCATGCGGCATCTAATCATGAGGCTACTTTTCACAGCCAACAATATGCTGCCTACTTCTCTGATATATCTACTCTTTACTGCTATTTTTATAGAGAGAGGGGGAGAGAGAGAGAGCTTTTGCTTGTGTGAATTGTTTTGAGAGAGAGAGAGCACCTTTTCTTCAGTGAACTGTTAACGAGAGATCAAGCACACTGCTCTGCATCCTCCATTTATACCCTCTCTGTCGTTAATATAAAATCTAATTATTAAGTTAATTTTGATCATAAATAGAAGGTTTATTTTTCATATTTATCAATTTTTTTAAAATTATCTCTATGAATACTCCATCGACCATAATCAAGTAAGTAAGGGAGGAATGATATTAAGAAAGATGATTATGATATTTTAGAAAAAAAACGTCATGTTTTTTTATAATTAACTAACTTACTTAACTTTTTTAATCTAATTAGACTTATATTAAGTATAGGAGAAGTATATCTTTTAGGCCCCCAAAATAGATATTTCATTCTAAAGATAGATATCTCTCACGTCTCTATTATTTTCTAAAGCCGCTCTTCATTAAACTATTCATAACTTAATGGCTAAGTACACCGAATCCATTTTAATACTATAATACTATCTTCAATCTTAATTATAAAATCTTTTTTATACATTACAAATGAAGTCTTATAATTAGAATAACAAGTAGTATTAAATTCCTCTGACCAAGAAGTTCGCAATCCCACCACGCAACCTCGGTTTTCATCCTCGACAATCAAATCGGTATTATTCACTTCTCGGATTTCGTATATTATTATGCCCTACAAAGGGTAAATATTATGACTTATAATTCAATATCTAGTTCTAATTTGGTTGACATTGCTATGTGAATTTTTTTGGACCATGCTATGTGATTTGATCAAACATTTAATTGAGATTAATCAAATAAAAAAATTATTTATTTATAAAGTAGATTGAAAATACAGTTTGATAACAAATTAAACTCAAAACACTTGATTCGTGAATACTACTCAGTAAGAATCAAAATAAAAATATTAAAGCTCCAAAATTACTCTTTAATCTTTTTTTACTTTAAAAAAAAAGTACTTACCTGTTTACTTCGATTTGGAGTAATAATTAATAATAGCTCTAACAAAGTGGAGCTTTAAATACAAACGCGCAGCCTAGAGATTCAATTTGTCACTCTTCCTGTGTTACATTAAAAAAAAGTAAATTAACAGGCTATTCTATGACTTGAAAACACAGCAATTACAAAATTATGGAATGCCTTTCAGCGGCTAATGGACACAATGCCACTCTTTTCCCAATTCAACCACGACTGCAAGCAGCATGGTCAATTGCTCTCAGCTAGAACTGAGTCATGACAGATTTAAAAAGACAAAAAACACCATGTTCACTTCACTCACTCGTAACATCATCGACATCGTCCTTGTCATCATCTCCTTTGATGTCCTCGTCACTCTCAAATGCATCATCAGATTGTTCTTCACCTTGATTATTTTGGTCAGTATCCATTGCGTCGTCAGATTCTTCATCACTATCCTGGTCCTCATAGATAACCGGCACTGGTTTTTCTCCTTCGTCCGCCTCATCAATATCCTGGAATAGAAAAACCATGAATGAGTTCAAGCTAACCTTGTAGTTTGCTAACGGTGAATGTAGAAATCAAAGAATACTCACTCCAGCGCAAAGGAGGTCTATGGCGCTTGACAATTCAATGGCAGATTTGAATGTGGAGACCCTAGAGCCAATCAGCTGTACAAAGCAACAGATTTAATTGAGGAAACTACTATTGGGATGATCATGAAGAACTACTCAAGAATTGATCAAAGCAGTCAATTAAAATTTCAGAATGTGGTTTCAATCAGCAGTTATCTTGTCACAGCATCCAGTCATGATCCAACAGTCCACCTGATTCAAAGAATTCAAATCTTGGAATGAAGATTCCTGGGATGTTATAACACTCGCGTGTTGTAGAGGCAGAAACTTCAGCCATGGAAGAGCACATGCCATAATAGCGCCCCTATGAAAGAGGAAAAAACAAGAACATCATGTACATAAGTATTAAGAAATGAATGTATAAATATACAGAAACGCTATTAAGTTTACCGAACAAATAGGGTCCAATTACTATAATGATGTTTTTACCTGGACTCAGCAACATTGGACACAAGGAAGTTAAAAAATTTATGGACTTGCGATGTCTTCAATTGTGAAATTGTCTTTCGGATAACCTGCAAAAAAGGGTACATCATGCATATCATACAAGAGCCTGACAATGAAAAGAATTTACCATTCTGAGAAAGACATGGTTCAGTAGAAAAAGAGGGGAAAAAACAAACAAAAAACCTTCTCATCTTGTGTAAACAAGCAGTCTAGTATTAGGGCACGATCATCGGCATGCAATGCTTGCTTGAGCAAAATATCAACTGAGTTTGCACTTGGAGGCATGGTTAGGCCAGAAGATTCTTGTTCCTTAACACTCCTGGATTTGTCATTCTCGCTTTGCAAAGTAAGACTAGCAAGTTTATCTCCCATTGTGGGTTCGTTCACATCAAAATCAAGGACTCCATCTGCTACCTCACCTTGATCTACATCCAGTACCAATATAAGAAGAAATACTCAATGCCCCACCAGATAAATCAAGAGTGAGACTGTACCCAACACAAATCATGCGCGTAGAACATGTAGAACAGCCTAGATGGCTAGCAAATCTAATTCCTTGGCCAACGAATATATAAAAATATGGCACACTTAGCATCAGATATTAACTACATATAAATCAGACCAGAGAATGAATTTTAAGGAAAACAAAAAAAGAACTTCTATGATTCACAAAAAAAACAGGCATTTTTCAGGATTCAAAGGAAAGCACATATGCAGACGCAAAGCTTAATTAATATTTCCATAGTGTTACAAAAGCAGAATTGGGATTTCCACGACAGAACATGTAGAACAACTTAGATGGCTAGCAAATCTAATTCCTATGCCAACGGATAAATAAAAATACGACACATTTAGCATCAGATATTAACTACGCATTAATCAGACCTGAGAATGCGTTTTAAGGCAACAAAAAGGCACTTCTATGATTCATAAAAAATCAGGCATTTTCAAGATCTAAAGGAAAGCACATATGCAGACACAAAGTTTAATTAATATTTCCGTAGTATTACAAAAGTAGAAACTGGGATTTCCATAACAGATCACTTGTTAAGGAAAAAATAACATACTCAGTGGAGGTCAGACTTGAGAGGAGGGTATTTATGCTTATTAACATCCATCATTCCATTACAGTTAAACATTCCATAATTCTTACCAAAATTCATCTCCACCGTTGTGGTTGGAAGATCAGGATCAAGTTCAGCTTGCCTTTTCTTAGCTTTTTTCCTTTCTGCAGGCAGTGGAGATTAAAACAGTAAGAGAAAATGTAAGGGACAACCTTCAGACTGAAAAATAAAAGATAAAGTTACATTTATCACATTCAATTTCCAAGTGATCACGGGCTTCTCAGCAATCTATCACATACAATGTACCCCTAGAGTGGGAAAAGTATTTCATCGGTGGCCTTGGACAAAAATATTTGGACATGTGTCCTGGTTGATTTGGACTGCTAGATGCAAACATGTGTTGGATGGACGAGTACCCACAAGCCACTAGGTGCAACAACAGAGTCTATTTCACCTCATGGAAGATGCATCAAGGGGGATATTGTCTCACAATTTCTCCAAAAACAACACTGAGACGACATGGAAACCTCCAGCCAGCAGGGAAGTGAGGTGGGATGTGGACACCTCTTTTCGCACTCAAAGCCAAGCTGGCTGTCGAGTGGTTATTCGAGAGAAGGGACAATAGGTTAAGGGCTTCCAGAAGGCAATTGGCATTTACCCAATATGAGCAGCTGAACTCTAGCTATCAAGACGGGTTTACAGGCGTATAAGTCGCTACGTTTGTAATCTGACTCTTTGGAGGCACTCAATATGCCGATGAGGGACAGTGTGGTTAATTATCTTTTCCGGACTGAGATTGAAGAAACACGACAGCTTATACATAGTGATTGGAACGTGAAAATCTCACATGCTAGCAGAGAGATAATTCACTGCGCAGATAGCATAGCAAGAGCAGCTCAGGTTGAGGAGTCCCAGGTTATTTTGATACCAGAAGTACCCTCGTGGTGCAGAGAAGATTTTTCTGCTGGGCAAACGCTATGTTGAGGAGAATTACTCCTCAGCTAGTAACTTGTTTTGATTTTACCTTTCAAGCGTTTGCTTGCCACTTGTAAACCACAGAGTAGGAAAAGTATTTGAGATTTGACAATCATTAAAACATACTACATGATGGAAATCCATAAATAGTCAACTGATATGCTTAAAATCAAGTGCAAGAACCAAGAACTAGAAACATGAAGAGTATATCACACCTTTCCCATCAGATTTGACATGTTCATTAGCAGGTTCACCATCATCTGCTACGGGATGAGATTTCTTCAGTTTGTCCTTCGCCATCTCAGTCGATATTCAGGTAAGTTAAGTACACAACTCTGCAGCAGCCCAAAACAATTATCCGGCAACAGCGCTTATATCAATGACGAGGCAATCAACAGGATAAAACGAATGAAAAAGACCCAAGGAAGAATGAAGAATGACCTTAGGATAAAAATAACAGATAGAAGAAACCGATCGAGTGAACGTTACGGCGCCTTTGAGCTCCCTGGTTTAGAGTTGCTGCAGGCAATATAACCGGAGAAGGCGGAGGCTTAGGCCTCTGGAGTTTAATTCCGGGGCTCGACAAGACGAGGGTTTTGGACTTCAGGGTTTAATGTATGGAAAAATTGTAATAAGGACTCAGAAAATTAAATATAAAAAAAATTCTTAAAATTATTAAATTAATCGGAAGTATAAAAGACTTCATTATTGCAATAGATTCTGTTTGTTTAGTTATAAAATTACCATTATTTTTTTAAGCATGTATTAACAACTGAAAGTGTAATCACTAACAACTTAAGTTATAATATTAACAACTATTGCGACATTTATAGATAATGTATTATATTTTTGTCATGCGTTAAGAAAATATATTATTAATACTTATCATAATAGTTGTTAATTGTTACACTCTAAGTTGCTAACAACTGCTCTTTCAATTGTCAATACATTCTTAAAAAAAGATAATTTGATAATTAAACAAATAAAATCTCTTGTAATGAGGAACTTCAGGATAATTTGATATTTTAGAGAATCTTTTTATATTTAATTCTCTTAGATAGACTTTCTTAATGATTTTGACCAAAGTATTACCTCCGTTCCTTAATATAAAACCTCATTAAATTTTTATTTTGGTCCTAAATATAAGACTCCAATTCATTTTATCTCTCATATCTATATATTTTTTCCCCAATATAGTCCTTTTGATAATGGAAATTCTAACTAATACGATTGATCACCAAGGATATTTTAGAAAAAACAACACATATTTATAATAAATAACTAATTAAACTTATTTTTTTAATCTCCTCAAATTAGTTAACTAGCTATTATAATTAGGGCCGGAGGTAGTATTTTTTTTAATTAAAACCCTTTTATTTATTTTTCATTCATAATTAATTTATAGATATTAATTATTTATAATATATCTGTTTATTTTGTTGTTTTAAAAACTCTCCAACTAAAATGCATAAAATTTTCTGGATTTATTGGAAACCTAATTTGGGGGTTTTTTTTTCCCAATCTACTAATTTTTTCAGTCCAAAGAAAAAATCTACTAATTGCCAAATATTATAATAACTTAAAATTAAAATAGATTTGTTTCACTAATTGCTTTTATCATGTCATAAAAAAGATTTTATTATAATTTTTTTCGCCACCGTTATTATAAATTTAATTTCCCTGAGTCGGTCGCCACGAGCAACCTCTTCCTGCGTCTGTAGCGGCAGAAGCCGAGTTCAAAAGAGGGTGAGTATTATTATGGCGGGTTCACTGCCGAACATCATCTTGAAGCGATTTGCTGCTCGCTCTCTCAGCAAACCGGTAAGATCTTGGAACATCTACCTGTTGATGCGAACAAGATTAACCTTCGATTCTTGCATCTCTTTTATTATCTCATTGGGTGGAATGTATAAAGTTATACACTTTCTGCAATTTGCGTTGATTGGTATCGTTTTTTTTTTTTTTGGTCTGTTGCCTTGTATGTGTTCAATCTATCCTTGCGAAAGTATTGAGCTGCGCTAAGTTAGAATTTGTTCGTTGCGATTGAAACGGCCTTGGCGTTCCCTTCTGCATATGCGTGCTGCCATATGGGAGCCGGAAAATTGCTTTGCTTACGTTTTACTTAAATCTTCTGTGACTATGATTCCCGTGGTTTGTATTTGATTGAAGTTTTGAGGGTCCTTTTGGTTGTTAGGGTCAAGGTTTAAGGAATGTGAATCAAGTGTACATTTTATGATGTGGGGTGCACATTTATGGCATCGTTCTTCTCATGAGAAAAGCCAATACCCTAAATCTCCAAATTATTATTTCATGTAGAGCTTTTGGGATTATGGTAAACAATTTATAGGTCTTAATCCTGTTTTATTCATCTGAATTTTGCTGAAATTATGCAAATATTCTTTTATTTTCAAAATTCAAAAGGACCTCTAATTTTTTTCCTTGGCTTTTGTATTGTTAACTGCTCAATAAACGGATAGGATTGCACATGAATGTCGCCACGTCTGCATGGGCACTTGATTAGGCATTGTGCATGCCTGATATTTCCTCTTGCTCAATTTCCTTACCCCTAGAGTTGATTGCAGAAAGGTGGCCTGTTAATATCAACTCGAGTTCATCTTACATTGCAATATTATGTTCATTAGTGCTATAACTTACGATACTTATCCATTATCAGTGAGTTGCGATCTTCTTTTTATTGATCTTTGCTCTAACATGATAGCAGCTTGGTGGGTCACTTTGCAACTATGGCTTGAGATTTTTAACTTCTGCGACAAATGATCCTGACACACATGATGACTTCAAGCCAGCTAATAAGCTTGAGACACATGATGACTTCAAGCCAGCTATTAAGCTTGGCACAGACTTCAAGCCAGCTAATAAGCTTGAGAATTCTGGCGTCTCTTTGAAAGATCTTGTTGAGCAGGTGAGTGTACATCAAGATAATCTGGGACATGTAAAATAAATCAAATGTCCCCCCCCCCTTTAATCACACAGGCAATCTGTAAATCTCTGCTTAACTGTGGCAAATGTGGGCAGGATGTCAAGGAAAATCCAGTTATGATTTACATGAAAGGCATTCCTGAGCTCCCACTATGTGGATTTAGTTCACTTGCAGTTAAAATTTTGCAACTATATGGTGAGTACTGAAATGCCTGTTTTATTGTTGCCTAAGCATGGACATATCTTCTCTGAACTGCCTCAGTGCATTGATATTTATTTATTTATCTTACTCTCTTTTGATAGATTTTTTCTTCCAAAATTCTGAGAATGCTGCTGGTTTGAAGAAATCATTATAAAGAGTTACATGTCAGGAATGTTTATGACTTCTGCATATACTCTGATTGGTGGATGGTTTTGTTTGGAGTCACCTGAATTTAACTATCTTTTTGTAGGGACACAATGAGAAATTATGGCATAGTTAGCACAAAAAACTTTGAATATAATATGAGACAGCACTGGTTATACCTGTTACGTGTGAGATACTTGATGTGGGCATTTCATGCAAGTTTCAGATAAAGATATGAGATTTACATATAAGGAATATTCAAAAGAAACATGAACCTTAGACTTGTCCTGTTTTTCAATCTTTGGCTTACTTGTGGGATGACACCACTTTAGATTTATCCTTGCCATTTCAATTTATCTGCCCCATTAGGTTACATAATGACAATTCTAGAAATTGCAATTTTCACTGTATGTTTGACCATTGCAGATGTTCCATTTGGTGCTAGAGACGTTTTGGAGGATGCTGAACTGAAAAGTGCTGTAAAAGCCTTTAGGTAGTGATGCTTGCTGGCTTTATAACTGTTTGATCCCTAACATTTTTTCATGTCACAGTTAAAATTATCACTAATTTATATTACGATGGTTTGCTAAGGGCCCTTTTGTTTAAGCTTAATTATACATATATATATATTCTAGAAATTATATGAAAAGCAATTTGTTGCTTAGAGATTTTATCGAAAGCAAAAATTATATTGTGTTTGGTTACAGTAATAAAAAAATGATTATTATTTAGTGATTTTTAGGTTTTATGATATTTTTGTGTAGGGATTCATTAAAAACAATTTACTCCTCCAGTCCTAAATATAAGACCCTTATACTAGCGTGTATAAGGGTCTTATATTTAGAACTGGAGGAGTATTATTTAGTTACTTTTATACATTATGGTATCTAGGTATTTTTATGACATTCTCTCTCATCTACCGCATCTTATTGATTTTTAGGGGTTGGCTTTTTTTTAAAAAAAAAAAATTCTGGTTATTTTTAAAAATTCTAACAAATATAATAAAATTTCCTATAAATGATTTTTAAAAAATAAGTTATTTTATCATTAAGAAATGCTTAAACAAACTGGACCTGAGACAATTTGACGAGTGGTAATTGTTCATTATGATAAGTTGAGATTTCATTTTTCATTTGTGCCTCGAACATTCAGCAGTTGGGATTGTGACAATTGGATTTGAGCCTCTCATTTAATTTTAAGCTCAGTCTGCCTTCTAAAATTAACGCGCGTGCGCACTAGCCCTTTGTAATTGTGATTTTCTGAGGTCAGACCCTGCATGTCACCATTGCAGAAGGCTAACTATTATACCACTCTTTCCCTTCCCCCCGTGCTTCATCTTCCACATCTCACTAAAGCTTCAGTTCTCCCCTACAGTTGCAGGCAATAACTAATATCCAAAGAAACAAATAAATCAGAGTGATAAAATTATCGATTGATCCTCGAACACGGTAGCTCTAGTAGACATGATTCATAGTTAATTACAGGTTAGCAACATATTTTGTATGATGTCCTAATGTTCTTTCTCTGCAGTAACTGGCCAACATTTCCACAAATTTTTATTAAGGGAGAGTTTCTTGGTGGATCAGACATTATTCTCAATATGCATCAGGTTAATTCTCATTTTTGGAGTTGATCTATTTCTTTTGTACCTAGTCTATTGCTTAATGATATTTTACATCTTATGTAGAGTGGTGAATTGAAGGATTTGCTTAAAGATGTCACGTCCAAGAAGTAAAAGCCCGACTATATGAAGTTCAAGTTTTTAAGATGGGGTAGTTTGGAAGAACTTGTTTGATGTAATCTATTTTTAATTGATATGTCATTATAATTTGTGCCAGAATCGATAGATAGTTATAACTTGGTGAATAAAGAAATTGTGTTCCATTCATATGCCTATATTTTTGTTGTTTTGCTTTCTTTAGTACGTATGTGCTCTACATAAAGTAAATTGGAATCGAGACTGAAATTTTATAATTCTGACCCTCTCTCAAAATTGATGTTTCTTGTGAATTGATCTTCTAAGTTAGATAAAATATGAGAGATTCAACTTAAAATAAAGGGTATGTTGCAGTTCATATTTAACCAAGTGTTCAATGTGCGTAGAACACCATCATGAAGTTATGATTGTGATTTTCTTATTATTTGGAAAGGCCAGAAGTACATAGAATAAAGACGTGACTCTTTACTTGTTGAAACAAGAGTGGAATACTTGTCTGCTGAACCAAAATTGAGATATTCACAAGTAGGCCTAGTTTAGAAAGAATAAATAAACTTATTATGGATAAGCATGATCATTTTCATCGTGGGTCCTGTGAAAAAGTGACATGCTGCTTCAACTGGCCATAATAGCTTTCAAGTCTGGAACATCGAGGTGGACTCTTAATGACATCTGCCATATTTCTTTATGACTATGAATCACAGTACCTTTAGAGATAAAGAAGCCATCGATTTAAAGCTAAATATATCTAATAGTACAACTGTTAGCCTCTAGGATCTTAATAATATAACACAACAGAGGAACATGAAAACACATTCAGAGCATCATTCAACAGGAACATGACCAAAAAAAGAAAAGACCCTGAAATAAATTCTCCTACACCATATGTATCCATAATATATATATATATATATATATATGGATATACCCAACCCTTCAATGATAATGATCTACCTACACCGAAGCACGCCATTTATGTTTACCCCTCAAGCCCCAGCCTTGAGCTAAGCCAATTGCAGACTTCATCCAGCTCTCTAGGAACTGTATAATGACCAATGCTGCGCACAAACCAAAACAGTAAAACTCTAGATTTAACTGATATATTCAAAAGGGAATAATCTCCACATGAATATAACTGACCCATCATAGGATTTGAATGTCATATATCGAAATCCTGCGGAACTTAAGGACTGTGCTGATTTCTCCCCGTATTTGTAGGGAACAACATCATCACCTGCAAAATGATTTGCATATAAGCTTCTATTAACAGCCAAATCATTTAAGATACATGTACTTTAATCATGAAGTTGCTTTGGAACTTTAAGGGTTTAGATTCAGTGGATGATAATATATGCAGACACATACTTAGTCCATGGCACAGCAAAAGGGGTAATGAAGCTGCTCGCCTTCTTGCTTCATGTGACACTTCTATCTTGTTTCTTAAACTCCTGCATAAATATCAAATTTCAACCACAAAATATCACCTTGTCGGCAAACTTTTGCAGATGAGTATTGAGAAATTGATGAAAAGATAAAGCCGGATGTTCTTTGCCATAACCTAAAGTGATTAAAAATCGTACCTTGATCCCGGAAGCCAGCCGCTTAATCCAACAACTGCTCTTAAGTTGACAGAGTATGGAATGCCATTTCCATACCTTCCCATGGCAAAACAAGTTGCAGAATATAGTGCTGTTGCTGCACCCATGCTAAAGCCTCCAACACCAACTTTCACTGTCACAAAAGTTTGGCGTGTTAATGAGATTCATCAACAGGCTAATTCTACAAGATACGAATTACGAGTTCGTGGATCCTAATTCCCATTTACAAAAATTGCCACAGACTTGATATTTTCTCGGACCACACACAGTAAAAGAACTAAAACTGATAAATTTGACATAAAATGGAGTTTGAACACTTTTCTTCCTTCCTTTTCCTTTCCCCTGAATGATGTTATGATGATAAAGTAAATTTCATTCTCCAATACAGAATTATGTATGAATGTGTGAAAGTTAGATGTAGTTGATACCATCAGCTGGCTCTGTAGACAGTAAGTTAGCGATGTGAGCTGCTGAAGCATCTAAACCCTCCCAATCATCAGGACCATCTTCTGAAAGCTCTCCCTCATCAAACCCTTATAAATATAAATTTACCATGTTAGATTCTTTTAGTGCTTCTATGAGTATATATGTAAGTATTGGAGTAGTAAGAGAAGTTTGTATTACATGCAGTGCAACGAAAACCGCCAAGTGCAGCTACAGGACGGATAGGAGCAGTAGGACAAATCCATTTGATCTACACCATAAAAGCGTAAGAAACTGTGCCAAAGATTTATTGAAACACATAAGAGTAACTATCGAATTGGTATCTCGATTAAAAAAAAAAGGCTTACGTTTTAGTTTTGGATTTATTTAGTCCCTAAATGTTTATAACTCACTGCTCGGATATGTTGGGTTAGTTCTTCGAATAAGAAGAGTAGATGTACAATCTGGTCCAACAAAGGGACTAAAGTGCAATGAGTTACAAGCTTCACTTATACAGATTAATGAATCAAAGTACTAAAGCATTAGTAAATATATCCTATTAGAGATCAAACTGTGTATTACTCGAAAATAGATGCGAGTATATGAGTCATATAACTAGCAAAAGGAATATGTATATATTCTTACATTTGGAAGAGCAAGAGATTCCAAAAGCTGAGCGGAGCTGCAATAAACAAAGCTCAGAATCAGATAGGCTTGTCTCTAAATACTTAAATCATTTCAAGGCAATTCACTGAACTTTAAGAGTTTAATAAGAATACAGCTTTGGGTTGAGTTTCTCTGGTTCCTTTATGAGATGATTCAGGCATATAATTAGAAAAGCCAATAAACATCAACCAGAATCCACTTGTCTGCTAGACATAATTGTCAAGATTCTCAACCATGCTTCAAATCATTCAATTATCTGTATAAGATTATTCTTTTTTCATATAAGTATTTTTTGGTCGAATGTCTTGTCTATTATTGTTCAAATGGGTAGAGGAAAAAGAGAGCATTTGGTACCCCAAATACGAATCTAGTATATGCTCTAACAAATAAAAACCGCCCGTAGTTAAAATGGAGGTTACATTATACTCCTCCGGTCCCTAATATAAGACCCATTTAACTAATTTGATTAGATTAAGAAAGTTAGGTAAGTTAGTTAATTATAAGAAAAGTGACACATTTTTCCTAAAACACCATAATCATCTTTCTTAATACCCTCTCTCCCTCTTCTACTTGATTATGGTTGAGGGAGTATCCATAGGGGTAATTTAGAGAAAATTGATAAATATGAGAAATGGGTCTTATATTTAGGACCAAAACCAACTCAAGAATTGGGTCCTATATTAAGAACCGGAGGAATATCATAGTACTACATTTTCCTCCAACAGAATTTATTCCGATCCGAATCTCAACAGAATTAAAATCAAGAAAACACTAACATGAGGCCTGCGAATATGATATTTAATATTAAAAAAAGAAAAATTTTCGTATTGCAAATAAAAAAGTGAGGGATTGTTCCACAGTGGAAACTCCTTGAGTTCGGCAACCATGCATTTATCCCTCAAATAATTTGCGATGTACTTTACCCATTTAAGAGAGAAGAAATTTACATTTTTATTTCAAAATCTTACGGCCACACAATTCAGCCATTAATCAGTCCCTCAAATATACATAATACATTTTCAAGGACTAAACTGTGTAATTTTAAGATTCAGAGACCAAATAGTTTAGATATGTGTCTTTTAAAGACCTAAAAAAAATACATTTTCTCTAGAATGGAAGAAAGTAATGAAAGGATTGACACAAGAAGCAAAGTTCACAGCCATTAACACAAGACTAAAGGAGAATGAATCAATCATAGCTAAGGCAGTGTGGAAGAGCATCCGTACCTGGAACCATTGTCACCAAGACCATGTAACCAAACAATAGTGGCTTGGTGCTTTCCTTTGGGCCTTACCACATGGGTTTTCCCAAACTCAAAAGTCCTTCGACCAGTTCTGCTACCTGCATTTTTCACGAGCAAGAAAGCTAAAACTTAATAAATGCAGCTGATAGAGTTCAAAACAAGTACAAAAAATGACAACAATCCTCACAAACGAAGAGTAAATATCATGCAGCATAGGGAAGGGAAAAGACAGGTGAAAATGTTACAAAAGTGACTTTTTTCGACAAAGTACAAAACACAAATAATTAGAAGACCAGAAAAAGCCCCTGCAGTTTATAGAAATTCCACAGTTCATGAGAAGAAGAACATCAAACCAGAGCCCATATGAGAATATCCGTAGCTCATTTTGCAGCTTGCAAACTGTTTTGAAAGCACCCTCAGCTATTGCAACGACTATATGAGAAGAGGATCTGCAATGAAAGAAAATGGGGAATGGTGGTGTATTTATACACAGAAGGGTATGGTGGAGTTGGAATAAAACGTGTGAATATGCATTGCAAATGTATTAGTGAGCACAAAAGCTATATAGACCACGGCCAAAACCACCTAGATAGAGATGGGCATCCATGAAAAGGAAGGAACTAGAGACAGACCAAAGGAGTAAACCCTTTATCAGCACATCACATTCATCCGTTTCTAAGCTTAGAGAATCTGTGCTTTGAGGACAGTGGCTTGAAAATAAAGGAAGCCACAACGATAACTGAAGAATATTAATGAAAACCTGACAGAGGGAGAGCTAGAAAGGGAGAGAATAACCTAAGTTTGCAAAAAAGAAAATATCTTTCCTTTCACAAATGATTTGTTTATGAATTTCTGCATGATTGATGGATTCCCATTAACCTCTAACCCATAGTTTTAAAAATTTTGAAATATTATATTCTCAAGGACAAAAAGGAAGAAATCAGCAGAAAATTTGCATATGGGAAAGGAAAAGGGTGCTTCTGGGTATTTCCCCCCGATTTCTAGTTCTTGATAGATAATAATGATAAAGCTTATCAAACTGGATTTCATATTAGAATTGACAAGAAAAAGCACGTAAGCTTTTTACACTAATCTTCCCCTCTCTCTCTTGCTTTCCACTATGCTCGGCTGCTCAAACCCCACTCATCCAAAAATTTTGTTTGTTTATACTCATGAGGAGCAGCACAAGTCAAAAGAATAGTACAGTATATAGTACGTGCTCTTAGAACTTACATGTGTGTGTGTGTGAAAAATAACATCCAATCCAAAAATCATGCAGCTTTTTTTTATATACATTTGGAAGAAGAAAAATAGAAAAAAAAAATTGCAGCCTAAACATCTTCAGGAGGAAATCATTATAGGCATAGTAGAAGCAGAATAGTTTGCAAAATCTCATTTCTAGAGTATCACGAGACTATTTTATCCCAAAAAAAAAAAAGGGTATTATGAGATTAAAGAACACATCTTATTTTTCCATTGCCTGCTAGAGAGAGCTGTAGTGGAATCCAACTTGAAAAAATGTTCCACTTGCTAACTTCTTTTATTTTCTTCGATGGATTTTCCTGTTCTAGTGTCGCCAAGTTGTGCAGAGATTTTGCAGCTTTGATTCCCACAGTAACATCAAATCCGTAATTTATTGTGAAGTGGTGGATCTGGTATATATCCCTGCCTCACAGAGATAAAATTTCAGACATACGGAGAGGCAGAGCCACTATGTACATAGGTCAATGAGTACATTCATTGTGCACCACTATGTATGCTCACCTATAAAATGCAGCTTTCATGCAGCTTACCTGGAAATCTTAAAATTCTTATCTATGCTTCCTTCTGTCCACTTATTCGTTTTCTGAACTTCTAAAGCTTCATTGATGGAGACTAGAAAATTATGTGCACTATTCAAATAGGGAATGCCGCGAATCTTGAAGAGTTTGATCATGATCTATAAAAGTATTGACAGCTAGTGCTAACACTATCTTCAATCTTTCTTTTTCTTTTCTTTTCTATATGCATGTATGTGTTAATTGAAAACTTTGAGGTCGTGAAAGGTCCATCTGAAAATGAAAGTTTGTGGAAGATTGGCGATAAAAAGATTGTGATATCGTATGATGTCTACATAGCATAAAAATAATGTTTAATACTAGAGTGAGTCAATATCACATGATAGTGTATTTTAAACAACAAAAGCACTCAGCACAAAATTGGCTTAATTAGTTGATTGATAATCTCACATGGAAGTGCTTTGTTTTTGTTTTCGTCTGCCTTTAGGCATCAAAGCACTTGTTAAATACTCCCTCCCATCATAAATATAGTAGCTATTTTAATAGATTTGCTTTAATTATAAATGAAATGTCCCAATTCATTTTGTCTCCCAATTTTATAATTTTTTCCTAAACTATTCATATTGATTGCACATAAATGGGATAGTTTCCAACACAAATGATTGAAGGGAGCATTTTAGTGAAAGAAACACAAATTTATTATGAATAACTAACCTTATTGATTTTTTCAAATAACTATAAAGTAGTCATCTACCTCCTGCAGGACCAAAGAAAGTAACCTTTTTCAAAAACCAAAAGTTCTTTAGAGATAATATTGTAAGTTAGGTTTTTTATATTCTAAAATTTCCTTTCATTCGCATTAACCGACGTTCATTGTCATTTTGTAATTTACTTTAAAGAACGTAAAGGAGCACCAATATAAAACTGGTTGACTTATAGTTCAAACAAGCTGGTGAGGTGGCAGAGCCTAATTGGTTGACCATATGAGGTTAAGCATCTAATATCCCTCTGCGAGGTCAATAAATGAGTGGTTTTCTCCCTGTTTAAGAGGAACTTAAGGCTAACTTTTTGGTTTTGTCAACTCCTGCCCTACCCCACGATGAATGAATATGAAAAAAAGAAAAAGAAAGAAAGAAAGAATAGCTCCAACACACTGAATAGTTGAATCAGAGAGTGAGTACAAAATAGGAGTATTTGTTTATGAGCAGACAAGATATGCTGCTGGCACTAGACTATCTTATTGGAGATTAAAGTACTGTGTGGTGGGTGCAATCTTGCAGATTAGGCTGCTTAGATAGGCAAAAGCTTTATAGTAGAGGAACATATTGATTGCCCAATTGAAAAAAATTTGTAAATTTCAAAAATCTCAGAAGCACTAGTGCTACTAACTTCACCAATTTCAATATATTTTACAATTCTCTCTTCTGCAATATAAGCTGGCATGCACACTGGGAAAAATATTCCCTTGGTTTTCCTTTCAAAACATATATATTCATAAAAAAAACAAAAGTAGAATAATTTGGGACGCAAATTTAAGACCTCCCTCTTAAGGGAATTTAACTTGAGTTCTACGCTTGAAGAAGAAGAATCAATCAATTGGCTTTTAGATTTTCACCTAGGCCAAGAAGCTGGTGCTCAGCTATTGAGTAGACACTTGTGAACCAAAAGGGGTGAGTTTCTAGCTTCACTATTTTTTTTCTTTCTTTTTTGAAGTCACTCAAACACATTAAGAATTCATTAACTGATATGGATGAAATAAACAACTTCTTCTTGTTCTGTGTTTTAGAACAAACAAGGACATTTAAAATATTATGCTATGATGGGACACTTACCTAAGTTAGGGCATGTAGCATGTCTTATTGTTTTGTTTAGTCACATTGACAAGACACCAGATTCAACCTCCATCAAGGAAGTTTTTAAGCTCATCTTTTTAAAAATTAAATTAATTACTTTTGAGAGAAATGCACCTTTACGGCTTCACCACACTTAGATATTTATTTATAATTAATTTTTCTGAATTTTGTGTGGTTGGTTGGATTATTTTTCTTCCACCTAAAGTAGAGCACTTTACAGATTATGAAGTGGCTCAAAACTTAGGGTGAAGAGTGCCAACCAATAGTTTACATTTTTAGAAGATTGTTTTCATTTAAGTTGTATATGAAATTTTCCTTTTCATGATCTAAGATAAATATAAAATAAAAAGGCATAGCAAGCTATATTATTTTTATGCAATCATTTGACACATATGATAGAACCAAATCGGATTTGAGTATTGCTGGACTCAATTAACCTTATGTCTCTTAGAATGAATTTTTTTGATTTATAAGATTGAAATCCTCAAGATTATTTAAAGAAGATCGAGTCCCTTCAACTTATCCTAATTATTATTGATTAAGTTATAAATATATAATTACATAGCTCACTTTAGAATCTGTGCAATGTATTGAGAAATGTAAGTTGCTAGGATAAGATAAAAACGAGCATGAACTGACAATATGCCACTAAAAACATCTTTTAATTTTGAGAAGAAAAGTGAGAATTATATACAATAATGCAATTATTCCTAGAGCCACAAAAGTAGTATTCGATTGCCATGCAAAAATTCAAAATGATAGTTGATGTTGAGGTGGACCTATGTGGAGTTACGAGACAAATCTGGTTTTTGAAAAAAGACAAAGGAAAAGTTGGACGTTTCATCATTAAAATTCAAATACAAATGATAAGCCACTTTGATATATATTTGCAAATCATGTCAAGTCCTCACACAATCATTACTTGTTAATCCCTTCATCACATCATGTTATCTGATGTATCTTCCAATTTAAACAAAGCTTAATTTATTGCCATATATATATATATATAGTCCTTCTCTTTAATTTGATGAGATGATGTCAGCGTTATAGCAACTTCAAGATGTAAATTCATTCAATTTTGTTACTAGTAAAACGGGATTTGTATACAAACTCCATCTCTTACTATGAGCTTGTAGTTTTTTAGTTACACTTTATCATGTGTTATATCTTTTTCATGTAGATTTAAGATTAAATGATGATATGGAAAAATAGATTACTGTTTTTAATCATATTTATAAGACACTTTTAATTGAATTTTTTTCTTAAAAAACGTAGTTGAAATTAAGTTTTAGTTTCTTTAAAAAATTTTAAAATTACCCTTAATTAAAATTATTAATTTTTTTTATTACACACACCTATTACCCTTCCTCATGGGAAGGACTCCCCAGAAGCACCCAGTTAAAATTATTGATTCCCATTGTAATATAATATATATATATATATATATATATAATCTTTCCTGTCAATTCCAATGACATTTGTTGTATATATGAGTTGGGAATCAAATTCTTATGCTGTTAATAAATATATTTTTTAATAATGAAATAACAGCTTCTTAATTTTTATAAATATATAATAAATCTTGTTACGTTGGGCAAAAAGAAGACACTTATTTTATAACTTAACATCACATAATTAAATTTTATAAAGAATTTAAATTTTACAATTTGATTAAGTATTTAACGAAGAAAAAATATAAGTTTTACATAGTTCAATTCAATTTTTTCATTCATCTCTCTTTTGTTTGTTTCACATTTTGTTACGTGAGAGAGTGATAAATAGCTCTATCTAAGGGGTGTTTCCAAAAGCACTACTTTTAAAAAGTATTTTTATATAATGGAGACAAAAAATTTTTCATACTTATTTAGGAGGTGTTTGGGTAATTAAGAAAGTGCTCTTAAAAGTATTTTTTCGTAAATCGAGATAAACTCTTTCACATATGTATTTCGTATACTATAAAATATTTTTAAAACTATGATTTGATTTTGATCTAAATACCTTCTAAATAATAATTCGTTATTGGTAAGTTTGAGACATGAGCCTTTGAATCTATTCTGTTCGGATTCTAATTACCAAATTTAGATTTTTATTACTTCATTGTGCTTAAAGAGAAAAGCATTTAGAAAAACACTTTCATAAAAGTAATAACACTACCTCTGGTGTTTAATACAAGAATCATTTCACTAATTTGAGAAATTTAAAAAAATTAAAAAAATTACTTAATTTTAACGCATGTTATATTATCT